AAGATTCCAAGTCTGGCAATTAAAGTAATTTCATTTATAAACATTTTACGTTTATGAAATAGTGTGTATTATTAATTTAATTAGTAAAAAGAAACTTGGTGACTAATACTCGACATGACCTGTCTAAGAACGGCACAGTTACGAAAAAAGTTGAACAGCGAACATGCTGAAACGTTACAATATATATAGATACATAGACTTTATATTGCAACGATTTTCATAGAATCGCATGTATTTTATAGTGTGCCTAAGATGTCTTTCTTGATCTATGAATGTTAAAAAAAAAAATTGAAGAAATCCTTTATAACTTCGACACCATGTTAAGGTACAGTTATATTACATAATTGTATTGATACACTCAACAGATATATTAATTACTAAGGGCACAAAACCATGAGAAATGGTCTAAGTTTCCATTTACTCTGTACACATTTTCCTTTTCTAATACAGACATTCTGTGTTATTTAACTGTATTTTATAATGACATTACATTGTAGCGTCTGAACTTGAACAAGATGAAAGCAAAGTCAAAACTGTAACAAAATTTTCAATAACAAGTAAAATTTACGGTAAGTTTTAAAAATTATATTGTTGAACAATATAGTAATCAAAAATGGATAAGTGTCCATTGGAGACAATGTCCCTTCAACGCTATCAAATTTAGATCAAAACCTTAATGTTGCATATATATTTTAAATAGTTAACAGTATAATATATACTTGTATGAAAATAAAGAGAAGTGATAGGATACCAATAAATAGAAACAATTATTCGTTTAGAGCAAAGTAAAAAGATGTGATAAAATAAACCTTGTTTTAAACAATGAATAAAATCCAATACCTAGTGTAATCTATAAAAAAAACCGGGATGAAATAGTGTGAAACTATGCAAGAGAGAAAACTAACTGCCTGATAAATGCTACAACAATAAACAAAAAACAGTTACAGCAGACATTTCCAAACTACCTATGTGTACAATGTATCAATGAAATAATATAGTAAAAGTTTGAAATAATGTGTTGTTACTGAACCTTTGACTTAGTGATTTATCTGTTATAATACTTCAATAATGTGTAAAAACTTTCAAGTAATGTTATTTTTGTTATACATGATGATAATTTGTAGTCATTTATTTCGAACTGATTCTTGATACGTCATTGTGTCATTCCGTTAATCATGTGTAATTGGTAACCGGAGAGCATGATTTGCCCTCCAAAATTCCTTACTGTACCAGCCGGGATTCGATGCCGGACCCCTGGCATGCACAGTTAGCCACCGCTCTACCAATTGTCAATTTGAGTTAAAGAAGTACTCCACTAGCGCAGCTAATGGATGGCGATTATATATCTACTAGGTAAAGGGAAGTAACACCACTAACCCCCAACCTCAAGAGTCATTTTACTATAATGACGATATCTTTATCACTTTTCCATGCTAGGTATTATTTTTGCTAACCGTGGGTGACGCCAATTTTGTAACCGGAAAGCATGATTGTCATGCCTAAATTCATAACTGTATAAATTGGCGTAAACAAAAGGAGTATAAAGACAACAATATTGTTCTGAATTGACATAGGAATGACCATGGAGCGAAATACAAGCCACTTATATCGTTTTACGTGAGGTAAATTTCGAAGTACAAAATCACTAGGGGAAAGATACCGTTTGTTCAATGGTGCTGTTTATTCAAATTAATTGCCAAAAGCACATTGTTAAGAAAAAGATGAATATTGGTATTTGACTATAATCAATTATAATATTGATTTCGTCATGTAGCAGTAAATGAACAAAATTAATAGACTATCAACTTGTTAATTTCAAATGTGGATTTATTAATCTGTTGTTAGAGGATTTTACAAACATACGATCAGAGCACAGATAGTCTTTAAATAAAAACATTTTCAATAATACATGTATAAGACGTTAAAGCTTGAGTCTAATTATACTATACCCTTTGAAATTAATATATGATTACAAGCTTAAGGGGATAAAAAATATGATTACAAGGGGATACAAAGTATACGTCAATTAGACAGCAATATTACAAACAAAAATTACCCAAAAGATATTTCGAGGTTAACATAAACGAGGAGGAAGGTATCCAAGGGAGAATCAACACATAAGTTGGAGCGAGACCGACAAAATAATGGAAAACACGATATAGGACGAAAGTGCAGCAACTATCTAAAATACACTACATAAAATAGCAGCATACGGTTTCCGTCAGTAAACAAGTCTTCGTACAATGTATCATAATTCCAAATCGAGTCATACAAATGTATATCCTAAATAACTATTTCAGGACTAAATGAATGGTATATATCATACACTATATATATAAACATACTGTAGGAATACAATTTATCGAATATATTCTACGATTAAAAGCAAAGCGCCATATCCGCAATCGGCTAATTAGAACATTGAGAGTTCATGAACAAGTGCGGATCCCGGATTTTGAAAAAAGGGGAACCCCTGGCAAGCCAATGTTTGGAGTGATACTTTTAAAAAGTCTATGCATTTATTATATATGAAGCTCCATAAGTGGAGACCGAGTCCCATGCCCCCTCCCCCTCCCCTAAATCCGCATCTGATGTACACGGGATACAAATTATATTCGACATTTTAAACTAACAAATAAATTACGTTTTATTAAAAGTTTCGTACTGGGATTTGACAAAATGAACAAATATACGATCAAATTAAAGTAAAGGGGATAGAATTATGACCGTTTTGAAAAAAATAATCGAAACTACCATGCGTATAATTTGATACTCCCGACGAGGGTTTCCACTTCTCATGCCTCGTCTGTGTCGCTCAAATAAAAACAGTTTGAGGACAAAACAATAACTAACTGGAAGAGCCTTGAAAACATTTTTTTTTTGTAAAAAAAAACCTGGCGCGGAGGCAATCTATGACAATCCTTCGAATGTCGACATCAATGAGTCAAGATAAGGCGTTTGTACATGGATAAGGTATTTGTAATTTATGGTTTAGTTTGAACCATAATTCGAATTCCAAAATAATTTATTTTTAATTGTGTTTATAGATCATCCTGATTGTGACGCTAAAGATCCGACTATAGTATTAGACAAATGTCCTACAGGTTTGTTAACAAAAATGAATATAACCTATGAACTACATATAAACTTCATTCAGTTTGATTTCCTGATTGTAGTTTGCTTGACGTTCAGTGGTAAAATTTAGAAATCTAGGGTTAAAATCATTGTTCAAAATAAGAAAACATGATGAGGAAAGGGGGGAGTAAGAGTTGATGGTGTTGATGGTTGTAGTTGCAGTTGTTGCTAAGTTTAAAAGAAGCGAGTAGAATGTTTGCCATTGCTATTATGGAAAATGTTGCTATTTGTTTTCGAGAGAAACTCGGAATACTATTGTCGCTTACTTATTGATCCAGGTAATTTGAAATTCAAGAGCATATGGATTTTATGTTTCGTTTGTTAGCAAGGTATATAGTACCGTTCTACACAATGTTTCATTGCTCCGGACATTTCATTAGTCGTTTCAAGTTCACTTCAATTTTTTCAAGGAACTTTTGTTTTCGAAATATTTTATTTATTCTAAGAAGTTCCAATTGGTTTTACGATCACAAGTTGCTACCAATTTGTTCAAGTTTATTCAAATTAATCGTTAGTCATATCGAACCTTCCATAGTCCCTATTATTCACAATTGAGGCTTTATAAGTAGATATAAGAAGATGTGGTATAAGTGCCAATGATACAACTCTCCTTCCAAGTCACAATTTGTAAAAGTAAACCATTATAGGTCAAAGTACGGCCTGGTTAGGTATATGGCTGTGTTGCCGATAGCGGCAAATTAATCAGGCTACAGCTAGTGCTTTTGCTCAAACCATAATTAGAATTATCTGTATTTAAAAGGGAGATGTGTTTTGGTTGTCAGCAAGATAACTCTCTACAATAAAACAAATAACAATGATGTTAAGATGTACAGTTCATCGCATGTCTTTCAATGATAAGTTAACCCAATACCGTACGATAATCTAGTATATATACAAGACCCCTTAAAGACAAACAGTATTTTTATTTTCAAAAGGGACAGCGATCGGCATGATTTAAGTAAATAACATTAAACGAAAAACAATTATGACAGACTCCTGGATCCTGGCTTGGAACAGGCACATACATAGTATTGATAAGCATGCTTGTAAACGCCTAAAACTACACAAACCTTGGACCACAGAGTAACAGCGCAACATTGAAGAAGATTGTTAAAGGACATCAAAATGACAAAAAACAAAAAAGTATCAATCTAAGAGTACTTGAACCTACTGAAAGTTGTTCAAGGCCAAATATGTTAATTTATATGTACACATAAATGCTAGAAATGCTGATAAATTAATTGTCTTCTTAGCCAGGTGGTTAAATTCAGATTAATATAAAGTATGTAATTTTACTCACCCTCTATGGTCCGTAGGGGGTCAGTAGTGAACCATATAACGAATTTATCGCACGCGGGACTTTTCCTGCTGCGTTTTGTAGAAAATAATCAATGAAATACAACAACATCAATAGATGACGTCACCATTAACAGTAGACGTGGCGTCATGAACCCCATATGAAATTTACTAGCCCCCTACGGATCCATAGCCATAGGGGGTCACCACGTGACGGCGTTAAACCAATCACAACGTCATAATTTACCCGCGGTGCGATAAAAAGTATTATCAATGCAATGAATCCAAATAGTTTCTTCAGCTTGGAGATACTAAATTGTTATCACACCACATAATCTTGTTAGACTGAAAACGGATATTTAGTGATATAGTTTGTTGTTTGTCTTCTATCGAAGTTGTAGCGAATAGACGGCCTTTTATTATTTATCGATAATGTATTTCATGTGAAAATTTTTTATGTAAATATTTTTAATATTGTGTTAAAAAACAAACAAAATCCGTAGTTCTTCTCGTAACACTCATAACAAGGCAAACTTAAAATAATATTTTCGACATTTCAGATTCTGATAAACCAACCGTATATATAACTCCCGGAAACAGCAGTATGTATGTTCATAGACACGATAATATGACATTAGAGTGTGCATTTGTATCGCTTGCTAACATTACCAGTTTACAATGGATCAAGCATGGAAAAAATGGACAAACAGTTTTAAATGAAACAACTCATCCAGATAAATTTAGTGTTAGTTTTTCCGGAGCTTCTCGCAACTTATGGCTTTTTAAATCTGATTTTATACTTGAGGACACAGCTACGTATCAGTGCATTGTTTCTAATCAGAATGGCGAAAATGATGACAATGTAACCGTATTCATATTTGAAGGTCAGTTTATTTATGACAACTCTACTTGAAAAAACAACCCATAAAAAAATTAAGTTGTTTGTTTATTTAAGTGTTGTTATGACGATTTACTTTAAAAAAAATAATTTATCATTCTATCAGGATTCATGAATCTCTGATGCTGTATAATTTAATACAAAAATTTAAAAAAGTACATTTTTGTAAACGATTTAAGACGAAACAAAAGAGATAATGAAAACCATAAGTAAAAGAAAGGTATACATTATGTATATAACGTCATGGCCAATCAAATAGGTGAGAATAAACAACAGGCAACAAAACAATACACAGTAAACCAAAGATAATTAACATATGTTTAACCATTAAATGTGTTTGTTTTGGTAAAAATTCAACAATACATCGAACAAAATGTTATACACACACATAAAGACACACATATACATGAATATATATACATTTATATATACGTGTATTTTCTTATCAATCAGAAACCCCTAATCCTCAAATAACATTTGAAATATACCCGCTGAATCTTGGTGGAGACGTACATTTGGAGTGCATGATTGACGCGTATCCAGAAATAACGGATGTTTGGTGGAAGAAAGACGACGAAATAATAGATAAAACAGATATTCGGTACAACGGATCTACTCCACAAGAACCATCGCTCAACATATCAATGACTACTACAGACGATATTGGATATTATAGATGCTGTGCAAACAATTCCATAGGTTTCAACTGCAGTAACGATTTTATACTTGGATGTGAGTTGACCTTTCTTTTCTACATAATTTAGCTCGTTTTGTTTATAAAAAGCAATGAAATGATGAAGAGATACTTATATATGTGACCTATACAGTAGTAGTAGCATACCATCTGACAGAGAATTTGAACGAGTATCAGTTGATATAATATGACACCATGTTTTTATTATTTTAATTTCACTGCAAGGGTCAAATATCGATCACCTGATTATAAATACAGAATTTGTAGATTTCCTAGCTTTACCACTTACTGTTTAGGATTTTGTAAATGTATGACGGGTGATGCATGCATAGAAGGAGACACTTGCATTGTCTTGTCTTACCTCGTCTGGAGTTATTGCAATTATGATTATTTACATAAAAAAACTTTTTGTCTGTATTCAGGGGAACAGAGCTTCAAGCAACAAAATCGTGCACGTAACTTATTGTCAAAAATGCACAGCCTCGTTCCCGAATTTAATTTTTGTATTACGTCATACCTAATGTGGTGTTATATTCAACGTAAACGAAGGTAGGCTATGGTGCTGTTTATATATGAAGTGCTTGTTTATGCTTTGTTTTCCTTACAAGAAAACGGACTTCGAATAGCTATACCTTCGTTAATATGTCTCTATGGTGCTCTTTTATATACCGTTTGTACATGTACCTGGAATTATGGCACATTTTTATTCCAAGGACAGCTTTCATGCATGATGTCTGTCCTCCTTGCAGATACTACGCTTACATTTTTTTTATATTAAATTGTAACAATTATTAGTTTTTTCTGATTGATTTATTGCATTTACCTAATTCCAAATGCACAGTCATTGTAAATCGAAAGTTGCATAAAATAACGGGGTCTGCTCTGTTTACAGCAAAATATGTGGATATTTTGTTGGTATGATTGATTTTATTATGAAATGAATCAATACATGCAAATATATAGATGCTATGTAATCTTTAAACAATTGAGAAAATTTCCTAATTTACAACTGATACATGTAAGATTCATCCATCTTAACTTATTCTAACGAAATCAAAAATTGAAAGTGACCGATGTCCTTTTCAGACCTTGATATTTGAATTTCTCATGGAAATACTCGTACGACATTATCTCTCCTATATTTAAGTTTCCTTTCAATGATAATGATGTTCCGTTTATTCCATCGTACGGAGTGTACATTTCTCAGTTGCTTCGATATGCACGTATTTGCAGCGACGTCTTAATATTTAAATTGCTAGAAACATTACTCTATTAAATGGCAAGATATTTTACTTTGCTTTAATATACTTCTTGATAAAGGTTATACAGACGGATACCAAGTTGAAATTAAACGAAAGAAATAGAACTCTTTATTAGAGAAGGTAAAAAAAGACCAAATTGGTATATTTGAATTGTTTACATCTGTTTCTATGGGCTTTAAAAGTTTAATGAAGGTGCATAATTTAGGATTTTATGTATCTTATATACGTGTTTTTACTTAATTATAGTATGGAGCCTCGAGATATTTGACACTTTTAAATTATAGACAAATTTTCATAAAACAGTCGATTGCGGTAGGTGCAAATACATGTGGATCTGTTTTGTGCATAAGCATAAATTCAGCCGAAACAAATACCACAGAAAGATAATAGATTGATCTTTTTAAATCATTAATTTGCATCTCTGGCCCCGGCGACAGTTTTTTGGGGAAAATTCCTTAAAATGGGCAATCATTTCATCGAAAAGAGAAAGTCGAGTACACCTTTTTATGTTCGTGTTTGAGTTTACTATTCTGTCTTGAAAACGTATGAAGCAAAAATATTTGATACATCATCTCGCTTCAGAATCTATTATTTTTATATATTTAGGCTACAGGTTGATTTAATAACATTATAAATTCACAGTTCTAAAAAATGAAATATATATGTCAAGTGAAATACCTTTCTAATAAGTCATAACAACAGAGTATGTGTGTTCGAATAAATTTTTTTTACTAAAAGTACTTGACGACCGACTTTACAAGTGGATCTTAAAAATGCATATCTTCAAAAAAACTTAATTTTTTTGTATGTTGTCTAGGGTTATTAGTCTTCAACCTCTGAAAATGTTTAGTCTGCCCTTCCAAGAAATATTTAATTAGAATTTTTTTAAATGTTTTTGAACTGTCGAAAATTCCCCCCTGACAACCGATCAGTGAATAGTTTTAAGTTGACTAAATGCAGAAAAGTACATTAAATGATGCTAAATAGCTAGTAGATACATTTGTCTTTTAAAATACAACTGGCATATAAGGATCGTAATGGTGCTATGTGGATAAATTTATCGGATTTCAAGTGCTAAATTGGCAGCGCGTCATCCCTACAATGTCTTCCATTTTTGCGATGGCATAATGGGGAGATAATTTTGACGAAGTAGAATCCTGACTGGTTATATAGGTATACTGTTGTTGTTAAATCAGAGCATCTGGTATTTTTGGAATAGACTTTTAATTTCCTGTTTATTATATTTAGTTTGAAGCAACACACAGATGTTTCTTTTGATTGTCTGTTTAGTTTGCTGTGAACAATACAAACACTCAGGTCTTCTTGTACTGTTGAAGAAGTTTCTGTATGTAACCTTCTATTAAGTGCAACAATAGATATTAAAGTGTAGGATGTCATTTTCATATCTGCATAAATAGCTTTCAGTAGCTGCGATCATACGTTTTTGTGTTTTTATAATCTATTATAAAGGCAAATTGTTTCTGATTACTTTATTCACAGCTTTTATAGAATTAAGACGATTTAGAACTTTACATATTACATGTTATATATTACATCGCATCTCTTTTTATTCATATGTGTATCTGAAAAGTATAAATTCGAAATGAGTAGACAGGCATCCTATATGTTTTTATTGTTGACCTTTTTTTAGTGAACGCTAGGCACGAAAAACCCTTTGAAACTTTTGGGGATTGGAGTGTTACAGATAATTTTAAGGTTTACATCCTCGCAAAAGACATAAAATCAAAAATAAATGTTTTATTCATTTGTATGATTTTGAGGAGCTATATCACACGCAGATGGGTTAGTATGCGCAATTCATTTCAGGTAGGCGTTAATAGTAACATTTTTTTCAACACCCCTGTCCATATTATATACTTGGGTATGTATGATGCTCGTTCTTTATAAGGTGAGACCTTCTCACATATGTCGTTAAAATTTCAGGTGTACCATGTAATCCGCAATTAAGCAAACCCGAAGGGACCTTTGAGATGCGACTGTCCCATTTCTGTTTATGTGGTTATATTTTCGGGGCTCCTTTTGCGAGTTATTTTTTTCAGAAATTTAGCAAACCCCGAAGGGCCCTTTGTGATGGGTCATCTCCAAGTGAAAATTCCTGTTTTAACACAGTAAGATTCCTACTAATTTGGATGAAATTATTTTCAAACATTTAATAACTCAGTAGTTTCACATCTTTATCCTATGGTCATCTGTTCTTCGAGACAGCAAAAATGGTAACGGTCAGTCAATTATTAAAAATGGCAACATGTCCAACATAATTTTACAGATATTTTTTATTTACATAATATAATTTGAGGCGCATTAGGGATATTGACCCAGTAATTTATGGTTTTACAGTAAATGTGGAAATCTATATCAAAATTTCGCTCAACAGTATAATTGTGGATTCTAATAGTTAAGAACGATATACCGTGTATCCTCGCTGCTTTCCTCGTTGTGTCATTTATTCACTAAAGAAAGAGGCGGAAAATACCAAGGGCACATTCAAAAACCTATAAGTCGAAGAGAAACTGACAACGCCATGGCAAAAAAAGAGATCGGAAACGACGAAAAGACAAACATGTCAACAAAACACTACAAAAATACTTATATCTGAGTAATACGAACACCACCAATACATGTCAACAAAACACTACAAAAATACTTATATCTGAGCAATACGAACACCACCAATACATGTCAACAAAACACTACAAAAATACTTAAATCTGAGCAATACGAACACCACCAATACATGTCAACAAAACACTACAAAAATACTTAAATCTGAGCAATACGAACACCACCAATACATGTCAACAAAACACTACAAAAATACTTATATCTGAGCAACAAAACACTACAAAAATACTTATATCTGAGCAATACGGACACCACCAATACATGTCAACAAAACACTACAAAAATACTTATATCTGAGCAATACGAACACCACCAATAACTGGAAGTGATATCAGGTGTTCCGGAAGAGTAAGCAAAATCTGCTCTACTATTGAATCCCGTCAAATTGCTCGTCTCATTAACTGATGCCACAAAAGATAAAAAGAGGACGGGATTGTAGTCACACCAGTTTGAGCATATCCGTGGTTATCTGTGATGTATATATATATATATTTATTGAGAAACTACCCCTTTACATCGGGGGCAAACACCAGCGGGGTGTTAGTGTTTGCGTCATACAAACTATACATACAATATATATAGTTACTTATATGTTATATAAGTTATGTTTATACATAGTTTGATTTCCATTACACTCAGTAGTCATTATTTTAGGATTATCCCAGGATGTTTTTTTTTTCTTTACTATTGAGAAGAAACAGATTTATTATCTTATCTTAATCAGCTACATGTGAGTTTATCAGGTGTTCTTAGCAGGGTGTTTAATTACATCAGTTCCATTACAAATATACATGTTTTGTTAATTAGTGACCACTTGTGGCATCTGGCTTTCCTTTATCCTTTGTTTGTTTGCACATACACTTGGGTTTAGTTTAGCTCCTCCCATTTAGGAATATCCCATTAAGTAGTTGTATATTGAAAACCAGTACATGCTGCCTTTAGTGTCCAGTTTTTTCAATGCAGATTAAGCAGTTAAAAGAATAATTTTTGCTCAAAAAGTGGCTTAGCTAAAAACTTGCCACCCACAAACCCCAACTTTACACCTTCAATATTGCCATGACAGGGGAATCAATCTCAGCACAGTTTATATAAGATTCTTATTGATTTTTCTGCATATATGTATATGTTACAAAATTGCTTAAAAATTCATTCCAACACCATTTCATATCAGTAGATCTCAGCAACAAGTAGTGCAAAAATTTATTTTTAGGAGCTATGTTGGATTGGTGTGATGTCAAGCCAGGGGTCTATACTTTGCTACTTTTCAGTACGCACATGTACATAGGCTGCTGGTTTAGGCATGGATCAGATAAATAACCTCAGCATCTGAAGCAAGTCCATCATGTCTGGACATTTATGAAATTTTATCACTGGTCGTTTCAAAAATTTCACTCATCCCCCAAGAATTTCTGGGGATAAACTGTCAAATTTCATACAAATTCATTCCAACACCAATTCAACATCAACACTACTTGGCTTCCTCATAGCCACATACTAGGCTTCCTCATAGCATCATTATAGGCTTCCTCATAGCCTCATAGGCTTCCTCATAGCCTCATAGGCTTCCTCATAGCCTCATAGGCTTCCTAATAGCCTCATAGGCTTCCTCAGACATAGCCTCATAGGCTTCCTGATAGCCTCATATGCTTCCTGATAGCCTCACGCATTTATTTAAAACCATAGTTCCAATTGGATTGGTGTGATGTCAAGCCAGGGGTCTTTACTTTGCTACTTTTCAGTACGCACATAGGCTCTTGGTTTAGGCATGGAGCAAAAATTTTAATTTTAGCTGAGTAGATTCCCCAAGGGCCAAAATTGAATATAAAATAATAAAAGTTATAGTTCATCTATGATTTATGTTTCATTCAAACCTGGATACAACTGGCACTGCTACGCAATACATGTATTTACACAGAAGTTTAGTTATAATGGGATAGAGCAGGATTTTGAATTATGTTGATTATATTGTTGATATGAGTACTAAATGCTTAATTTTACATATCATGAGTTCAAATGGAGAGTTCTGAAGCAAATCGGGACAATTAAAATATTGCTTAAATTAAATGTACTAGGAACTCATTATGTGTGACTTTGAGGATTTTTTTCATTGGGCACATATTTCGGCAAGTTGGAATTAAGGACAGAGACTTACTCAGACAGGTTTTTAATGTCAGGTCAAAAGATTTTTGCAAGGAGGTAACTGTTTTTCTGGATGTTTACTCAGTCGTTATATACTTTTCATTATTACAAAACACACATCCACTGACCAAAGGAGAAATTTGTACAGTATAAACAACAGACACTTAAATATAAAGTACAACATTACAACTAATTATGAATCGACCTTTAGTATAATTATCTACAATCCAGAATCGGTACTCTAGTCAAACATGGAACAAATTACAGTTAAAAATAATCAGGACCATTTCTGAGGACTTTGTATAAACAGTGTACGTAAAAAAAAACATCACTATCAATTAAAAATGACATTGCCGAAACACAATATCATTTTGGAAATCTCGGAGAAAAACTTATATACTCTACATTATTCAAAGACGTCTGGAACGAGATACAAAAGGTATTATAATGATTCCTTTATGTGCTCTACTCAATTTGTTTTACAGATTCGCCTATCATAATTAATTCTACACATTATGCAGAAGGATTCATCGGAAAGTCATTGAATATCAATTGTGAAGTGAAATCAGCCCCTAAAATCCTCGATGTTACGCTTCAATTTAAAGAAACGATTGTAACAGCAAATGTCTACAACGTATCCACTGAAAAACGTCACCAAGAAAAGTTTACATTTACAATTACCGACCCAACAATGCAGGACAGTGGAAATTATACATGCAACGCAACTAATGTGCACACATCCAGCATTAGTGATGTAATTACACTGGAAATATATGGAGGCAAGTTCTAATTCAAACTTTACTTTCGCTATTGCTTCCCACATATTGGCTATATTTATGTTTTTGGTGTTGCTTTAGCATAAATTGTTTAAAATTAACCGTCAGATTATAGATTAAGATTGAATATTTGAAAACTTCCTATGCTGTATTTACTAAATTAATAGTTAATTGTGCATAGTAAATGAATGCAACCATAAACATTGTGTGTGTTTTCGCTTTGACAAAATAATCTAATGTCGCCTGGAAAACAATACAAATGCGCATGCTTTCTGTGTGTCAGGTTCATTTTTTGTTTTTACAATAGCACATATCAGAGTAAATTCTACAAATTATGCAGAAGGATTTACTTTGCAATACCTCAAGTTAATATACGAAGGTGTTCTTGTAAAAATGCAACTGTTTTAGCTCATTTAACTGGTATGATCACATATTCAAACTGTTTATTTAATTGTTTGCAGTTCTTGGTCCCTGATCACTATTGGTATTTATATTTTTTTTCTTTATGAAGTCACCTGACATTTTTGTAGAAATAGTAAAAGGGTAGCTTGACATTTTGAGTCGTTTTGCATCTGTCATATCTTTTCTAATACAGTTCTCAGGATAAAATTCAAATAGCTAAAGTTTTACCTTTGTGTTTTGTTGTGTGCTATGATGGCCATGTTTGTTGGTTGGCGGCGATAACAATCATTTACTTTATGGTAGAGACTCTAAGGATTATTCTGTCATCTTTGGTTAAATGGGCCTAGTAATTTCAAAGGAAAATACTTTCGAAAAACTGTACGACGAAAACGGACGCCATTTAGTGTGATGGCCAAACTTCGTATTGTAAACTAACAATTGAGAGAATTCAGGGTTTCAAAACAAAAAAATCTTTAAAAGACACTTTTATTTAAAAAAAAAAAAAAACACTTTGTGCTACTTGGTGTTTTTCATTCATATCTTAATCAAATCATATTTATTTGTTATAGTAGTTTTACTTGATAAAGAACTATTTAATATCACATCTTACATTCACTACATTTTTGGCTGAAAATATCAGTATCAGAGAATAAAAAGATAATGGATCAGGCAAAGTTGACCTGATATAGTTTCAGGGCCTGATCTCCCAAAATTTGTGCATTTTTAGATTTTAACTTTGGATCGAGATCATACCTGATATAGGTTTTTAGTAGAAACACGTGTGTTGTTTTAACGAAGTTTGATTTTTTTTTAAATCGTCTCCTTTCCGAGCCGTGTAGGCTACGACGAGGCCTTTGATGCGGTTATAAATCTATAATTTTCTGTTAGATCTACAGTCTAAATATAAATAAGAAGATGTGGTATGAGTGCCAATGAGACAACTCTCATTTATTTCTTATCATCATTCGAATTGAACTGTCGTAACTACAGTAGTGGAAATACATGAGCGAGTCATTACCCATATTTGTTTATTTTCATTTAATTTAAATATAATGTAAACAATTAAACGCCAAACAGTGTTCAGGGAACACAAACATCTGACAACATATTAAAATGTTAACCGTTCCTCAGACCGTTGACCATGATTGAACGATAGAAATAACCTTTGCGTTTGAATCTGTATGATGGAATTTTTCATGGAATAAAAACCGACAATACTTTAAAATACAAAGTCTTTATTGAAATAAAACATATTCTCAACAATAGAATATTTTGATAGATGAACTATATTTTAACCAGGAGTCCTTACAGAAGTTAATTCCCAAAAACAACAAACGAAAATCGTATCGCCGGTATGCCAAAGAAATTGTTTTTCAATAATTTTATATCACCGGTGATTGTTAAACTCTACTTATTTCAAAATTTTTAATTTTAATTCATTCTTTATTTCAGTCATATTTCACGACCAACCTGATGAAAACATTACATTTGGGGAAATCATTGCCATCGACTGTGCCGTAGAGTCACATCCACCGATAACTAATTTAACAGAAATAACTTGGTCATTAAATGGAAGCTGTGTTAATATTTATAACATAACAAAATATCACCGACCAACACCTACTAACCTGATTATCAATAATGCCACGTTTAGTGACCAAGGGAAGTACACATGCGCAGTTGAGAACGATAAGGTTAACGGAACCAGTGGTGGATTTTGGCTGAATGTAATTGGAGGTAAGCAAAATTTAAAACTTAATAGTATGCTCGAAATATTTCACCAAGAGAAAATAATATGTATCCGCACTTTTCCCCCTAAAATGTCGCTATATCAAATTTAGACATAGCTGATTTCTTAACTCTAGGGTCACTTGCAAAGAGTTTTACAGACGTATAGAATAGATTGTGGATTTTATTTTATCTCACAGCTTACAAATTATCTTGATAGTCATTGGTTGCTGATAACTGTTCTTCTAATATCAAGATGTGAAGCGGTGCCCTCAAAGAGGGGACCAACAATTTAACAGTTATACTTTCCGATTAATAAAAGAACAATTTTTTTAAAGCAAGTTGATTATGAGAATTTAAATATGAACATCTACGGTTAAATCAGAATAAATTCAGAATAAACTAGTTAATTTACATTTATGTCCATAATGTAAACATCGCTAATTGATACCGTAACCATAACATATGATTTATTGGTTGATTTTTTTGTCGTACAAATTGGAAAGAGCCTAAACTTGGTAAAATTCATATCATTCTCAAGCTTAGTCATCAAATGGAACCTGTAATTTATTTACACTTTTTGCGTATTGGACAAAATTTAAATCATGAAAAAATTGACACTCCTATAAAATATAAAAAAGAAATCAGTCATATTTTATTTCAAGACAATTTTGATAAATCTTCTCATTATCCGCGACAAGTTTCTTAATAGCTAAAGGTTAATTTAGTGTCGATAATTGATGGTTAATAAAAACGATTTTTAAGTTGTTTATCTTAAATCTTCTCTCTGATTTCCTACATTAAGTGCCAAAACACTTTGCAAAAGAAGACAGATCAGTTTATTTTTATACGACCGCAAAAAAAATTTTGTGGTCGTATATTGGTATGACGTTGGCGTCGTCGTCGTCGTCGTCGTCGTCGTCGTCGTCCGAAGACACATTGGTTTTCGCACTCTAACTTTAGTTTAAGTGAATGGATCTTTTTGAAATTTGACCATAAGATTAAATACCACAAAAGGAAGGTTGGGATTGATTTTGGGGGTTATGGTACCAACAGTTAAGGAATTAGGGGCCAAAAAGGGGCCAAAAATAAGCATTTTCTAGTTTCCAGACAATAACTGTGGAACGGTGTATGGATCTCTCTGAAATTATACTACAAGTTTCCATACCACAAAGGGATGGTTAGGATTTGCTTTGGGGGGTTATGGCTCAAACCGTTTAGGAATTAGGGGCAAAAAAGGGGGAAAAACAAGGTTGTCCTGGTTAATGGACAAATACTTTAGTACAAAACATAATTTAAAGCAGTGTAAGGGAGATAAATCAAATACATCATTGAAATTATCTCCCTTACACTGCTTTTAAATTATGTATAAAGTAATGGTTAATGAACAATAAAGATAATTTAAAACAGTGTAAGGGAGGTAATCCAAATACAACGTTATGGTTACTTCCCTTACACTGCTTTTAAATTATGTTTAAAGAAATGCATATTTATAAAGGAAGACCAGTAAAAATATCTGCAAATGTTGCATCTTTTTTTTTTACAAAAAAATCCATATGAAAGATTTGACACTATATTTTTAATTCTATTATAAAATAGATTAAGTTAGCACTATGGTAAATTTAAATGGGTAATTATGGTTGCCAACTCCATTGGAAATTTGAATTGAGATTATGACCATATCTTGAGGGAAAGAATTTTTTGGGGGAAAAAAGGGGGGGGGGATAAAAAGAAATTGTGGGGGGTCAATTTTTTCTCATTTCAGATTTCAGAAATTAAAAAGAATTATTCTTCAAATATTATTTTTTTTTCAAATTTCAAATATTGAAAAATTTCAAGAAGTAATCTTTAATTGCACAGTATGGCGCATTAGATTTGTAAAATCTTTGATCACATTTATTTATTTGTTATGCCGAATCTAACAGTGTATTTAGATTTTTAATTTTGGGTCCAGTTTTCAAATTGGTCTACATTAAGGTCCAAAGGGTCCAAAATTAAACTTTGTTTGATTTTAGCAAAAATTGAATATATGAGGTTCTTTGATATGCTGAATCTAAACATGTATTTAGATTTTTGATTTTTGGCCCAGATTTCAAGTTGGTCCAAATTGGGGTCCAAAATTAAACTTTGTTTGATTTCAACAAAAATTGAATAAATGGGGTTCTTTGATATGCTGAATCTAACCATGTATTTAGATTTTTTATTTGTTGACCCCGTTATCAAATTGGTTCATATTGAGGTCAAAAGGGTCCAAAATTAAACTTTGTTTGATTTCATCAAAAATTGAATTATTGGGGTTCTTTGATATGCCAAATCTAACCGTGTATTTAGATTTTTAATTTTGGGTCCGGTTTTTTAAATTGGTCTTCATTGAGGTCCAAAGGGTCCAAAATTAAACTTAGTTTGATTTTAACAAAAATTGAATTCTTGGGGTTCTTTGATATGCTGAATCTAAACATGTGTTTAGATTTTTGATTATGGGCCTAGTTTTCAAGTTGGTCCAAATTGTGGTCCAAAAATAAAATTGTTTGATTTCAACAAAAATTGAATATATGGGGTTCTTTGATATGCTGAATCTAACCATGAATTTAGATTTTTTATTTGTGGGCCCCGCTATCAAATTGGTTCATATTGAGGTCAAAAGGGTCCAAAATTAAACTTTGTTTGATTTCATCAAAAATGGAATTATTGGGGTTCTTTGATATTCCAAATTTAACTGTGTATTTAGATTTTTAATTTTAAGTCCTGTTTTTAAATTGGTCTACATTAAGGTCCAAAGGGTCCAAAATTAAACTTAGTTTGATTTTAGCAAAAATTGAATTCTTGGGGTTCTTTGATATGCTGAATCTAAACATGTGTTTAAATTTTTGATTATGGGCCCAGTTTTCAAGTTTGTCCAAGTTGGTGTCCAAAATTAAACTTTGTTTGATTTTAACAAAAATTGAATATATGGGGTTCTTTGATATGCTGAATCTAACCATGTATTTTGATTTTGGACATTGGACCATAATAGGTAAATTAAAAAAAATTCAAGTTCTTAGACCACATTCTTTCTGTGTCAGAAACCTATGCTGTGTCAAATATTTAATAACAATCCAAATTCAGAGCTGTATCAAACTTGAATGTTGTGTCCATACTTGCCCCAACTGTTCAGGGTTCGACCTCTGCGGTCGTATCAAGCTGCGCCCCAGCGAAGCATTTTATTTGTATTGTATTGTGCCGGCAAATCAATAATGCAACTGATACTTTATATATTGATGGAGATCGTGCAATACCGAATTAACAGACTTGCTACTTATTTGTTCCATTCGAAAAATAGAGGGAAAATCGTGCATATATATCAGATCGTAATCAAATTAAAGCAAACACGTGCTTGATTGATGGATTGATCAATTGATATGCATTGATGCCGGACGTCAAGCCCCAAAACACATGCCTATATTGAAGACAATAACAAGCGACTGTCATATAAACAAATATGTTAAGTTGTGCTAGACAAACAAGTAGAGTTGAACATTTTACGTTGTATAGAATAAGAAGGCAGCCCAAAGTAAGACACATTTATCTAGAATCCATGCAAACCAGCTTTAGCTCTTACTCATGAATGTTGCTTGATTTACAAATATAAATTTGTGTAATTTTTTTTACCATTCAGAGATCAATCCTACAACCTCACACATTCGAGGCAATCTCGTTTTGGAGATACGATCGAGCCCATATGACAATAATTTTTTCATGTTTTTACTGTTTTAACAAAACAAAATTCAAAGCGTGATAAATATTATGACGCCCTTGAGATGAAGAAAAATATAGTGAAAATTAGAAAATTTTGTAAATTGGTGCGTCTAAAGCGTCTAAAGCGCTTTTCTAGATTTACCATCACAAGGAACGCTCAAAACCACAAAATTTGAAAGCCAATGATGTATTAATGATGTATAAATGCTTGAATACTCGAAGAGCTATTTGACAAAAAAGGACCAAGTGTGTGTGTGTGTGTGTGTGTGTGTGTGCTTCGTGACATTAATCTTTGGTTGAACAGGCTTACGTGATTTTCAAATTTGTTCATTTGTTAAGGACAGTGTGAAAATAGCTGATTCTTTGTGCTTTGTTTTGGTGATGTGCATAAGTGTAAGAGACACAATACAAAGTTTGTCAAATCCGAATTTGCAAAAGGATAGTTTTTTGCGACTGTAAAATAGGTTTAACTCTATCGCCTTTTTTGCTAATACCAAGTCGGGATATCTAAACCATAAGCTTTTCATAGTTGTTTGTCTTTGTTTGTACATCTTTTTTTTCGGATCGGGTGTTGGTGGTTGATGTGGTCTGTTGTACTTTTTGGCAATTCTTGTTACATCTTTTTGTGTATTGAAAACGGGTCATTTTAAAAATATGATATATCATAAAGAGTTATGAATCCAAAATTTTGAACAACCTAATTTTTTGTCTTTTCCTTTGACTAAATCAAGCTATCAACGTTTATAAAAAAAAATTTGCATCTACTAAACGTCAGATGATGGTTTTGTTTTCAAATTAGAAATATAAAAAAAAACATGTTTGAGGCGAAATGTAAAGTTGATGTTTAAAATATGCCATACAGCTATAATTAACATTGATATCCGTAAAAACAACTTCAAATTTTGGTGCTTTATCATATTTGATTGTGGAAAGATGTAAGTCGTTTCAGAAATAGTAAATAAATGCGCAATCAAAAACATAGATTGCCGAAAGAAGGATAATACCATTATCAAAGAGTAATTTAAGACAACAGTGCAAAACACATGATCCAGAAAAAAATTGAATAAAAAGAACCCAACAAAAAAGAGTGAATGTTGTGCTCCATAAGCGTCAGGTATTCCCGCTATTGACCAATGACAACCGTTGTATTATTACTGAATGGAAAGAAAATGTCTGTTAAATAGGGAACAGATTCGAAATAACAACATTAACGGTACCAATTTTACTGCACCAGATGCGTATTTCAACAATACATGTCTCTTCAGAGATGCACGTGGCCAAAATATTTAAAATTCCAATAGTTAACATAAACTTTGAAGAGCTAACCGAAAAGGACTAAAAGTATAGTCGGAAAAACTCGAGAGGAAAAAATTCTGATTTATATAATAATGTATTTTGGTCTAATTAACAATTTCAATTTCAGGTCTTAGCTACATTTAACCATTAGGTTGATTGTAAAATACTTTGAAGGGGATTTCTTTTATGAAAACAAAATATTGCACTTCTGACCGAACGTATATAAGGAAATCAAAAGAAGCACAAACCTTCAGTTGTGTATGCAAGTCAAAAAACTTGTATCGTGATGTCAAATAAAATTTTAATTACCGCATTATGCTTCTACGAAAATATCAAAATTCACATGTAAAAGGTACATTTTAATTTTTACCTTGTTTTGTTTTTTTTTAGTACACAATTTTGTTATGAAAACCGATTAATCAGGGAACATGGAAAATTTAGTAATCTTTCATTCCTTCATTTGACTAAGCTAAGAATATGTGTTCAACCTCAGGCAACGGCAAGGAAATTGTTAAAGGAATTTTGTACAACATACATATTAGGATAATTTCAATTCACTATTGGTACAAAATGATTAAATATTGATTCAAATAATTCTTCATTGTAATTCTGATCGTTTTTCACGATATCTGTGGTAATTTTTGGCCGAACGTTGATCGATGTTAAACTCGTCAATGAACATCCTGGACAAGGGGTTAGTGTTCATTGAGATCTACTAAAGTTACTGATATAAATGTTGTCAACATTTTTCTCTTTATATCAAGCAACTGAAAGTGAAAAGCAAATGAAATGCCAGAATTCACATTCAATTCAATGACATCTGATAATGCTAGGATAAATATTTATTGGATTAGGGGAGGGTTGGGTGCCCGCTAACATTATGTATATGCCTGTCCCAAGTCAGGAGCCTGTAATTCAGTGGTTGTCGTTTGTTTCTGTGTATCATATTTGTTTTTCGTTCATTATTTTGTACATAAATTAGGCCGTTAGTTTTCTCGTTTGAATTGTTTTACATTTGTCATTTCGGGGCCTTTTATAGCTGACTATGCGGTATAGGTTTTGCTCATTGTTGAAGGCCGTACGGTGACTTATAGTTGTTAATTTCTGTGTCATTTGGTTTCTTGTGGAGAGTTGTCTCATTGGCAATTATACAACATCTTCTTATTTTTATATTGACCTATATAGAAGAAATAATAATAAATATTCCGCTTGACAAATAACAGTTTAAATTATTTTCAGACTTCCCTAATGTCAACAGTAACATAATTTACAACACAGTTCAATACTCAGCGTTTTTAAGCGTAAACGAATCATCCACACTTATACTAACTTGTAGTTATGAATCCTTCCCGCCTGCAACAGGTATACAATGGAAAAAACAAAAAGACGATATTAACCAGCCGTTGTCAGACAGAGCCACTGGTGGCAATTTGTATGACCCAAACATCACTTTCACATCGGTACAAAAATCTGACGAAGGAAATTATACGTGCTTTGTCACAAATGCTGTAGGTACACGTCCTGGAAACTCAGTATTTATACAAGTCAATGAATGTAAGTATATTTGTCTTCATTGAACATGCGCTATTATTATACCTTACATATATTTCAAACAATTCTATTGGGTAAAACGTTATCACGTGACATGGAATAATTCAAAAAATTTTCATTCAATTGCAAGGAAGAACGAATAACCCTAAAAATTTACACCAGCGTTGAATAATCCTATTATTCACCGGCGAATAACCTTTTTAGTTTGTTGATTTGTACTCATGAAAATGACGTCACAGACGTAAATAAACAAAATGGCAACGTTCAAGTTACAGGAAGCCCATTGATCGAGAGAAGAGGAAATAAGGATTTTGACGTGCATCTTGTGCCGATGATATCTCTAATAACGGTCCTTTTCAGGGCCATCAATATTTTACAAAAAGAATCTACCTTAAATTTGTTGTACATACGAGAATTCTAAGACACAAGTTACATGTATTTTTGAACGTCAACTTGTGTTTGTTACTGACTCAAGTAGGGGTAAGTGCTTTTACAATGATTCAAAATGCCCTTCCACTGTTAGTTCGGTATAATAAAACAATTGTGGCCCTTTAGAAGCGATGAATATCCAAAATTGTCAACCCTTAAAAGTTATTTCACTTCGGGCTGCGCCCTCAGTGAAATAACCTTCTCGTGTTGACAATTTTGGATATTCACCTTTTCAACGGGCCATAATTGTATATTATACGTTACGTCTTCTTAATGTTATTACACGTAATATTTGAAGAAAATAAGATAGTGAAGTGTTCTTCATAACTGGAACACATGCAGAGAAAGATATATGTTCTCAGAATACCATTGATAAAGATTCAAAGAAAACTGATTTCATATGTGTCTTAAAACATATTACGACAGAAATCGCTTTTTGGTTGTGTAATTGTATATCTTTGAAATCTGATATTACCGTGTGTAGTTATTGACATCCACCATAGGACATAAAGTGTTAAGAACAGTTAAATATTTCGGATGTTCCACAGACAAACCGGATTATAGTTCGTAGCTAACACCCTATCCAAGTAATTTTATAATAACAACGTACCCACAAAAAGTAGGAATCAAAATACCAGAATTTTCTAGAGTATTTAGAATGTATAGTGCATTATGTTACACCTTTTGTAACAACATTATTTATACTTTAAAACCTCGTATTGTACATGTTTTATTTCTATTTTTCAGCTATGTGTCCATGTCTCTGTTCATTCAAGGAAAAGTTAGAGTTTTGGAAGAATAAAAATTTCACTAAGGAAGAAATGTTAGAATATATGGAACCTTTCTTGAAACAAGCCCTTGAGGCAATGAAGCTTGAACAGAAAACATTGTCCAAAAACATCCGCAAGCGTACAAGTGCGAGGGATGGCAGGAAATCTTCCCAACAGATTGGAATTGTGGGTATAGTTTTCATTGTTGCTACGTTCGGAGGGATAATTGTTTTCGATATCATTGCCATCAAAAGATATGTGCAAAATATCAGAGGAGCGTTTAATAGAGTTTAGATAATTCAATCTTCAATTTCCGCAATATTGGCTTAAATTTTCTAAGTAGAAATGTTTGGTATACACACCTCTTTAGGTTTGAGGGTACATACAGGAAACGGAAATAGTATAAACTAACAATCAATTACTGAACATTAAAAATATTTTTTTTTAATTTTTTTTTAAGAATTATTTTTTGGAACTCAGTAATTAACTCTGGAGGCAGATGTGATATATTATTATATTTGCATTAACAAATTAAATTGTTATTTAGATTTTGACAAAAGCTTGTGATATAAAATACTGTTTCTCCTTACTGAAATATTGTTGCAGGTTTTTGGCAACTATAGCAATATTTTCATGATGATAAATTTTAATTATCATTTAAACGTTTCATTTATCATAATTTGCCTGAGGTAGGCATAAAAATGGATTTTAAAATGACATGAAATTCATCTTCTACAAGAGATTGTGTTTTGGAGATGTCCTCTCATGAACTTCTTTTCGTTCATACCTTTTTAAATTTGCTTACTACTAGTTCAATACATTTATCTCAAAATCACAGTATCGCTCATAGTTATATATTTTTAACATCCCCATAACTCTAAAGCTTTAATTCTTTATTCTGGTATTACAATCTCGTAAAGATCAGATTCTAAAAACATTTCCCCTGTCTTTCCATTACTAAATACCTTGCTGAATGTAATAAAACATTTGTCTTAAATTGTTAAACGCAAGGTGGATTCCAGCCCATATCACCAGCAATGTTATCATTTGGCTTATAGTTACCACTCCCATGAAAAATCTAATGGCCCCCGTATTGGCTGCATTTTCATAAAAGACCCTGCGACTCTTTTCACAAAAAATCTTACGCTTAAAATTGATCGTAAGTTATACTGAAATGTGTATGACTTGCGAGTATTTTTACTCTTAAGATTTTTTGTGAAAAGAGTCGCTGGTTCCCAAGATACATGCGACCAATTTGATAACTGATAAAGCCATAGTATCGTATAGTTGTGAATAAATATTGAGCTGGAAACCTCCATGATTGTTGCTTTTCACAATCATCAATCCTCATAGTTCCATACCTCTATTAAGCCATTTACAAAACAATTCAGAATCCCTCAATATATTGATAATTATTTACATATTATTTAACACTACAATCAATAGAAAAATTAAAACTAATTTTTAAAAAAGTGCATAATTTTGGACTCTTAATGTTAACTGTAAGCGCATTTTTAGAAAACCACTAACATTGTCTTACAAAGCACATCTAAAATTTCCTTTAATATTCGTCATTTTCAGCCATAAAATGATATTATTTGCATATTACAATATTGCAAGTTTTCGTTCATCTGTATGCTAATATCAATATTCAGTGCATGTATATTATCATCTCAATTGTTAAATAATGTATATTGAACATAAAAGATGATAATGCAAAACCTTGTTTAAACACTAGTTTATATTAAACCATTCAATCATATTTCCATTTATACATGCACTGCATTACGTATTTGAGAATAGAGCTTTGTAAGAACATAAACTTTGAGCTAACACCTAACTTTTCCAGTTTCTTAAACACTCATACTCTATTGATTAAATCATATGCCTTCATATAATATTTAATTGCTACATAGGAAGGCAATGCACACTTTTCCTAATTTCATTAATTTTAATGTGTGGATGTCAGGGTGCTTATATGATCAATGTTACTTTTGCCTTTCATAAACCATCCTGCCCATCGTCAATTATCTTATTTTTATCAAACTATTGTCTAAGCTATCATTGAAAATGTTACAATGTATATTTTTGCAAATGGATCTAGAGTTATACCCCTGTAAGACGAAGGATCTCTAGGATCTTACTTCGAACATCTGGGTATTGGGATTATAGTTCTCTTATTCCACATATCTGGTACTTAACCAGACTTGAAGCATATGTTGAAATATTTATGTAAATAGAAATTGCAGAAACAATTTGATTTTCAGTGTTGTATGTTTTGTTGTACATGTACGCGCCAATGTTGTCCCGTTCTTACATTGTAAATTGTTGACTTTCAGTTTCGAATTTTCCTTTCAATGAAGTTGCCTGGGTACTCTTTCAGCCTTAGTCTTTAAACAGATTTTATCCCGCCTTCTCAAAGGATCAGTCTATACTGTTGCCGTCAAATTGAATCCGGCATTTGTCTGTCGCTCATAACACTTTAAAGTGGATAGTGAATTAGAGACCCGTCACAAAAAGATGTTATTTCGTGCAGTTTCAGATCGCATGATAAATATTTCCCTTGAAACTTTTCATAAAATCCACAATTTTCCTCCAGTTTTAGGTGGGATTCGTGTTACTCAGTCTAGTTTTCTGTGCAGTGTGGTTTTTTTTTAATTGTTTGTCGTTTTTTTCCATTTTTTTTACCATGGTTTTGTAAGTTTCTGTGGACTTATGAGTTTTAAATGTTCTTGGTATCTTCGGCCTCTCTTTTATCTGCATAAAATTTGGCGGGAAAGATTAATTGAATAACACAACATTCATTTCTTCATTTTTGTCTAAATTGATGAAAAAAATCTGACCAAGAAAATTTTACTCCTGCCTTGTAATTTCTTGTACATTTTCGTCTTGTCTGAAAATCTTTACAATGTTTTGAAGTTGGTCCACAGAAAACAGAGGCCATAGACTTTTAAATCATATAAACGATACAAGCATTTTGTTTCTATTTTTAGCAAGCTATTTATTCTAATTTGTAATTATGATGTATGTTGTGATTTTTGCATGTTTTATTGCATATTTGTGATCGTTCAAATATGAAGTTGTGTAAAATAATTACGATTCATTGTTTAATATTTGTAGATGTTTGCATATGTAAATATTGAGAGAAATGTCCATAGATTTACATTTGCCCCCTTAACCTATTATCTTAATTTCTGACAATTTACTGTCTTTGTTTTTGGTATTTTATCACGGCTTCCTGTAGAAAGGATAAAAGATTCAGGACACAGTTCGATATGGCATCCCCACAAAATAGACCGTAAGGTGTCATTGTACTTATTTTGTTGGGTGGGGTGTCATATCAAACTCTATCCAATCGTTTTATAAATTATTTGTTTTGATGGCTTAACCTTAAAAACCTGTTAATTTTTGGTGAAATATGATATCACTTAATTCTAAGATCTTCTAAGTAAATTAAAATAGACTGGTTGAATACGTCATTTAATATGTCTCCTAACGACCCAATGAACAGAAAATATGATAAGAGTTTCTACGATTAGGACGAGTACACAGAAAACCTAATGACATACGTTCAATGTAAAGAATAATGCATTAAAATACCAAAAAACAACCACAAAGGTCTTTTTTATTTTTATTTGTAAAAACAGACTTGCCATTTATTGTAAATAAGAAGAATAAATCTGCAGGAGGCATATTATTATAGACAAAACTTGTTCTTGCTCTTTTGGCATAATTAAATCTATGTGTGACATTCATGATGGTATGACATGAAAGGTGTTTTTTACTTTTTTGTACATATATATATAGTTTATATTTGCTTCAAATTTACGTATTTGGTGTAAAATGCATAAAAATTATTATTATATTCTATTATTGTCACCATATGTTGATTATCCAGCAGTGGGGTTAAAAGGAAAGAAAAGAAAAGAAGCATTCTAAAGTCGCAGACAGTTGAAAATGATTTCAAACTAGATGGCACTTCAGAAAACACATTGTTTTCAAATTCGTTTTTGGTAATTTTCACACTTTTCGACAGCTTTGCAGTTATGAACACGAGAACGAAGTTTTCAAGATATATGAGTTATGTAAAATTTTAAGATCAGTGATAGTATAAGCATGGACACAGTTTTATTTACTTTATTTAAAAGAGAAAACACACAAGCGACATACTACTCGACATTATACGTAGGAAGAGAATTAGGATATTACGTATACACAAGGGAATGGGAGTTGTCTCTCTTTAAACAGAATACAAAAAATTGTGAGTCGGACTTCTAAAGTTTACTTTAAAACGTATATACATCACGTACGTCAGATGACAAGAATGTTCTGATAAGTATTATCATAACAAATAGAAGTAAGTGCATGATATTTAAAGCTTAAAATTCTCAGTAATTGCAGAAAAGAATACCCACAATATGACTTTTAGTTTTTATTTTTTAGCCTCGACAAGTTTGTTTTAGAGTATGAGTAAAAAGGGGGTTTGGGGTATACGTAAATGAGACGTGAACAACCGAACGGGGAAAATTTCCGAATGACATCGAAAGGTCAAGACGCTTTATATCAAGGATTAAATATATTATGTCAGCATCTCTATACATATGTTTGCACATTTATTATATCAAATCTTGTATTAAACTATCAAGCTGTTATTACAAAATTATTGCAAGACGCTGATGAAAACTGTTAAATATTTGAATTGTTATCGTTATTGAAATGCTAACACTACAACTCGTCTTACCCTATTAATTTACAGTATATGAACTTTTTGAAGCTAACAATGGATTAAAATTATATTTGAAGGTGATTATATCTATGAAGTACGAAAGACTGGTACGGATATTCTATTTTTATAATTTCGAATTTTCATTTTGACGTTTTTACTTCCAATTTGACATTTCTAAGTTTCAAAATAAAATAAGGAGAAGTCTGATGATTGCCAATGAAAAAACTATCCACCAGATACCAATTAGGTAGATGTTAGCAACTATGGGTCGCCGTAAGGCCTTCAACAATGACTAAAACCCATACCGCATAGCAAGCTAAAAAATGCCCCGACAAAATAAAATGGAAAACAATTCAAATGAGAAAACCAACGACCTGGTTTATGTACAAAACAACAAACAAAAAACAAATATAATATATAGTAACAAACGGCAACCCCTGAATTACAGGCTCCTGACTTGGGTCCGGCACATATATAAAATGGCGGGGTTAAACGGGTTTGCGGGCGCCCAACCCTCCCCTTCCCTGGGACAGTGGTGTAACATAAGAACAAACTATAAAATCAGTTATCAAGGGCTTGACTCATCAGATCAAAACAAAGCAAAGAAAACAACTAACAAAAACACTATTGAAATGGCTGATGTTAATTTATCCCCTATAAATTGTGATAGCATTAGAAATTTTACTGCTTGTTCACATTCATTTGAGCTAAAAGGGAAGATGTTCCAGATCGAAAGGAATACGTCTTTGCTTATATTTTTTTGTTTAATTATATTAATCTTGCACACATTCAAAGAATTGATTTTTGTTAACAATATTCTAAAACAAATATACCGAGGTTATATGTATTTATGGTTGTTAATAATGGGTTTTTTTTATAATATCTAGATGTGATACTTTTTTTATTTATTCATGAATCATTTTTCATTTAAGTAAGCTACAAATATGTTTTAAGAAAAGATATAAGAATATGCTGTTGTTACTTATTGTCATGTAGGTAATAAAAATAATTATACTCCATAGCATCGCAGAAGTACATTTTCGTCACAGATTGGATTAATTATATCTCTCAGATGCATGACACACTTACTGTTTTGTTTATATGTTAAATTCGTCGTGTACAAGTTATGATTTTGTACTGGCTATGGCTCTAGTCATACAAATTGATGTTTCACAATTTTTATTATTTAACCCTGGTCTCCTATTTTTGTAATGGAATGTTTAAGAGGGTATCTAGTTTGCGTCATGTGCATGTTACTTAAACCGTTTTGTTACCATTTCATTAAAACTCTTCATAGTGAATATACAGATTGAGGGTGAGCGTATCTTATTCTGCAAAGATAGGAATTAAGTTTTTATCTAGGTTTCAAATGAGTATAATTTTGTCATTAAAAA